TAAAAAAAGGAATTGTAACTCTCCAGAGTGCTAAAGAGCAATGATGTTAATCTAGAGACTACGGTGCACCTGATCCAGGCTATCATCTTTGTAACTGTATTCTATGCATCAGAGAGCTGGACAATGACCAAAAATGACCAAAGGAGGATTTGATGTTTTTGAACTGTGGTGCTGAAGAAAAGTATTGAACATACCGATGACTGCAAAGAGTACATACATTTTTGTCCTGGAGAGGGTGGAATCAAGTTGTTCCTTGGAAGGAAGGATTTGAAACTCTGACATACTTTGGGCATGCTGCCAGGAAGGACCAGTCCTTGGAGAAGGATATCATGCTTGGAAGGGTGAGGGGCAATGCAAGAGAGAAAGACTCAGGAGGAGATGGCCTGACACAGTAAGTGGGATAATGGGGGTAGGTGTGTCAAAGACAGTGTAGGACAGCTCAGTACAGGACAGGTTTCAGGGCTAAGACACAATAATACATAACAACTCTCTAACTCTATCTATCTATCTATCTATCTATCTATCTATCTATCTATCTATCTATCTATCTATCTATTTATCATCACTCATATCTCACGCAAGCAAAATCCTGTTGAAGTTTATCCAGAAACAACTGAAACAGTACACTGACAGAGAACTACCAGAAATACAAGCCGGGTTTAGAAGAGGTTGTGGCACTAGAGACATTATCGCCAATGTCAAATAGATTTTGACAGAAAGCAGAGAGTATCAGAGAGGTATCTGTGTTTAATTGATAATGCAAAGGCATTTGACTGTGTGGATCACAACAAATTGTGGTTAACCTTGAAGAGAATGGGAATCCCAGAACACTTGATTGTGCTTATGTGAAACCTATATTTGGGCCAGGAAGCAGTCCTCAGAACAGAGAAGTTCTGAACACTACATGGCTCAAAATCAGGTAGGAAGTGTGCCAGGAGTGCATCATGTCTCCATACCCTTTCAATCTATATGCAAGAATAGATCATTTGGGAGGCTGAGCTTTATAAAGAGGAATGTGGTATCAGGATTGGAGGAAGATTCATCCACAACCTGAATTATGCAGATGACACAACCTTGCTTACTGAAACTGAGGACCTGAAGTACTTGCTGCAGAAGGTCAAGGGCTACAGCCTTCAATATGGATTGAAGCTCAACATCAAGAAAACAAAATTCTTACCACTGGGCCAATTGGCAGCATCATGATGGATGGTGAAGAGACTGAGATTGTTAATAGCTTCAGTTTACTTATCTCCACAATCAACACTCTTGGCACAAGCAGCTAGGAACTCAAAACACAAATTGCATTGGGAAAGTCTATTGTTATGGATCTCTCCAGAAAGCAACGATGTCAGTATAGAGACTAAGGTGCACCTGATCCAGGCCTGGGTCTTTAAAATCACTTGCTATGCATCAGAAAGCTGGACAATAACTAAGAATGACAGAAGTATTATTGATGCCTTGAGTTGTGTTGCTGAGGAAGAGTCTTGAACATACCACGGACTGCCAAGAAAACAAATATGTCTGTCTTGGAGGTGAAACCAAGGTTCTCCTTGGAGGCTAGATTTTGAAGCCCCATCTCACATCCTTTGCGCATGCAGCCAGGTGGAACCATTTTTTGGAGAAAGACATCATGCTTGGAAGGGTGGAGGGACAGCGCAGGAGAGGAAGACTCTGGATGGGATGGGTTGATACAGATTGTGATACTTGCTCAGGACAGGGCAGGCTGCAGAGCTGTTGTGCATAGGGTTGCTCTGAGTTGCATGTGACTCAACAACACATAACAACAACACAATATTGCTATTGTTGTTATGTGCCATCAAGTTGCCTGTGACCCATAGCGACCCTATGCACAGCAGCTCTGAACTCCTACCCTTTCCTGAGCCAGTCTCACTAATTCCAACACACCAACCCCCATTGCTCCAGCCACTGTATTAATCCATTTCATCCAGGATCTTCCTCTCCTGCGCTGTCCCTCCACCCATCCAAACATGATGTCCTTCTCCAAGCACCGGTCTCTCTTGGCCATATGCCCAAAGTGTGTGAGATGGAGCTTCAAAATCATAGCTAAAAATCTGTTATCTATCTATCTATCTATCTATCTATCTATCTATCTATCTATCTATCTATCTATCTATTTATCTATGATCAGGAAATCAAAAGGCGAATTGCATTGGGAATATCTGCTGTCAGGGAACTCTCCAGAGTGCTTAAGAGTGATGTCAGTCTAGATACAAAGGTGTGCCTAACCTAGGCCATGGTCTTCTCCATTGCTTGTTATACTTCAGAGAGTTGGACAATGACTAAGGATGACAGAAGAAGAATAGATGCCTTGATTTGTGGTGCTGGAGAAGAGTCTTGAACATACCATGGACTGCTGAGAAAACAAATAGGTCTGTCTTGGAGATGGTGAAACTAAGTCTCTCCCTGGCAGCTAGGATATTGAAGTTCCACCTCACTTTCTTTGGGCACGTGGCCAGAAGAGATCAGTCCTTGGAGAAGGACATCATGCTTAGAAGGGTGAAGGGACAGCGCAGGAGAGGAAGATCCTGGATGAAATGGATTAATACAGTGACTGGAGCAATGGGGGTTGGTGTGTTGGAATTAGTGAGACTGGCTCAGGACAGGGAAGGGCTCGGAGCTGCTGTACATAGAGTCGCTGTGCATTACAGGTGACTCAAAAGCACATAACAACAATAACACAGTATCACAGGTTTGGAAGCAGGAGTGGCATCCACTTCCTAAACAACATGCCTTTGGAAACTCTATGAACTTTGATAAATGACAATAGTTACAGAAAGGCTTCAGGTCTTTCGTTCATAGGGTCGCTATGAGTAGAGCTCAATTTGAAGCCAATCAACAACATGGAGAGATATGATTCCTCTCAAGGAAATGACTGAAAAGTTTATAGATTCTGATAAGCCCCAAGTCCATAAGATAGCAGGCTGGAGTTTTCTAATTCACATAGTTGTAGGAGCTAGTGAACCCTAGCTACAGAGTTTGACAAACTCAGGACCAGGCAATACAGTAGGCCATTGACTAAGTGCAAAAGAACCAGAGATCCAATGATGATGAGCCTCATGCTGGATCCAGATTGGACAATGGAGCAAGAGAACTTTGCCAAGATGTACATATATACTGGCAAGGTATACAACTGCTTTCAACTGATTGGATATTAATAGCAGATCTTATCATGGAAATGATAATATTCATTTTATATCATGTTATATATTTCATCAAGTGATGATTATATCCTAGCAGCCAAACCAGAGAATCATAGGATGTCAGGCTGACGACCTTAACCATCACAGACCATGAACAGAAAGGGTGATAGGCCACTTTACAAGTATGACAACTACTGAAAAAGTTAACTGGTATTTTAATTTTTCTGCTATATACACTCCAAGGAAAATGTCCTTTTCCCTTTCTTACCTCTTATGGAAAGGGAAGATAAGTTTGCACTAATTCTAGGTCCTCCTGATAAGCCTACAAGCACAATGGTTTTGTCTGAGGAGGAAAGGGGCTAAAGGCTGGAGCTTAAATTGAATACAGGAGTGAGCAATACAAGTAGAAAAATTCTGGGGATTTTTCTTCTTCCTAACACTGAAGGTGGGGGATAGGAGTTAGTGGATATTAGAGACTTGTGTTTAGCTAGCTTGTAACTTTCCTGAGGTAGCAAGACCTTGGAAGGGGGACATATGTGTATCAGCTTAGCTGGGCCATAATTATCATTATCTTAGGAGTTATGCAAAGATAGAATCATCCCCATTGATGTGCTCTAATGTGATAAACCAATCAGTTGTAAGAGGATTAGGGTTGGACACAACACCCTTACTGAGTTCATAGCCTTTACTTAATGATAAAAGTGGAGTTACTTTGCGGTGTGACCTAAATCATTCATCCTAAAAGAAGTAAAAGAAGATAGAATCAACTGGAGGAGGGACTGACTATTGCCCAAAGAAGAAAATTTAGGATTCACGTTCATCCTTTGGACTTAGGGTCCCTGTACTGAGAACCACTTATACAACCCAAGGAAGAAAGATGCTGAGACAATGATTGCCAAGGATTGCTGAACCCACAGATTTTAAAAGGAGACAAGAGCCTTCTTCCAGAGATGATGTAAGAGAAAGTTGTGATGAAATGAAAATCTTTTAAGTTGAAACCTAAAAGGGGTAGATTTAGACTCAGTTTATCTTTTAGTTATGTACTAATATGAACAATTAAACGATAAAATGGATATCCTTGAAAGGCTGTGAGATTCTCTACTGCTAGGAGTGAAATATGACCTCCAGGATCATAGTTTGGAGAAGCAATAGAAAAGACTTTCGGAACCAACCATAGCTGACCCTCCAGTGGGTTTTCAGAGGCAATTAATCACAAAGGATGAGACGACTTTCTCCTACAGAGCAGCTCGTGGACTGAAACTGCATGCCTTTGGGTTTGCAATACAGTTTCTTACTACTAGGTCACCAGTGCTCCAGATTTAGACTCAGTTTATCTTTTAATTATCTACTAATAAGAACAATTGTTGTTATGTGCTGTCGACCTGCAGTTGAACCATGCCGTGTTATCCTTGAAAGGCAGTGAGATTCTCTATTCCTAGGAATTAACTCAGAGTTCCAGGATCATTGTTTGGAAATGTAGTGGAAAAGATTTTCTTATCAGATAATGGTTAGAACTGTATATGCTCTGTGATTTCTGAAAATTCTGTTGGTCCTAGAGAAGGCAGGCATTCCTTGAAAACCTATGATTCCATGGATATGATTCCCCAAGGTTCTCCATATATAGGTCTGGAAAAACTATAAATAATGCTTGTAATCTCAGGGAAATCTTCTAGTGGCATGTTTCAAGCAGCATGTTTATTAAACAAATGCTCATGACAGATTTTCACAACAGCAACAAATGTCCTTTCACTACATCAAATCTCCCTAAGGGGAAAAAAATGACAGTTTCACCTAAAGTTGATGGATTTGGATTTTTTTTTTCATGTATCCTCACATTCTTCACTCATCTTCCTTTTCTTCTGATTTCATAGTCTTCACCAACTTTCTGGCTAAGTGCCCCCGATAGGCTGCTTGGATATTGGTAGCGGCGAGCTCTTTTTTCCCCGTATCTTCCTCAGAAGACTTCAATGAAAGGAGAAAAAGTACGAGACATGTTAAAATCGTCATATTTTTTTAATCCTCATATTTTTATGTCATAAAAATAAATGCATAAATTTAATCAAGTTAGGGATGTAATAACCCAAGATCTGCTGCTTCCTGAGAGAATTTTATATATTGTCACGCTGTATATGTACCAAATGGTGAATGCCAAAATAGCAGGCATTTTATTTTGTCACTTTTTAATATGTCTCTGCAATAAAAGATCACTGCCAGATTTTTTTTTTCTAAAATAGCTCCTGTTTAACAGTTTCCTGAGCAATAACATTTTGGGGGAAATAAAGAATCCTGGAAGCTGGTAAAAATGTCAAGAAGAATAGTAAATGTGCTGTTTTAAAATAATCATAATTATATAAAATGGATTAGAATGTTAACTTCTTAATTCTCAATGATCAGCTAAACAAAACCACACATCTTATGTGGAGTGTCAAACAGAAATCTTAGTCTATGAACATCAGCTCTTAATATGGTGGGTTAAAAACTGATACATAGCTTCTTTTTTTTC